TTCTCTCAAAAGTGCCGTTTCCAGACAAATTCCATGGCTCACCATTCCGATGACGGGGTTTCTGGCGAACGTTTTCTTGCTGACGACGAGCACCTCCAGTGTACGGAGCTGGGTCTCGCTCAGCGGACCTTTGTATTCAAACGTCTCCTCATACACCGGGTCAAAATTGTCCGTTAGTTTCTGAGAAAAATAAAACAACGGTGACGTAGAAATCTCAAGTAGGTGATTCGCAACAAAGCATGCGTTACTCACAAGCAATTTAATAAAAAGTGTACCAGGTACCTACATTTGTATTAAAGATATAGATGAAACGCAGCAAAACCCGCTCCCACCTTTGTTTTGCGTTATTCTTCTCCGACCTATCCGGCAGCAAGTAAGTCTTGACGTAAGGATCGGGGATGTCGTCACCCTGCATAGGTAGGTTCCTGTGGGCGCAAAGACAAGTCTTAAATAAAACAAAGTGGGGAAAACACTGCTCGCCAACTGTCACAGTACCAATGTACCTTTTACTACTGTTGCTTCTCTAACATTGCTGTTCTACTACCATGGTTGTCAGTCTGCAAATCTTGTACAAATATATTTAATCGGAACCAATTATAAGCGATAAGAGAAGCACTGTCACTGTCATAATCAGTCAACGGCCGGCGCATTTGACTGATCACACAATGGATTTAGTTAGCGGTCTACTCACACCACCCTGTGTACGGTGATCTCGAGGGCTTCCTTGGAACGACTGTGACGAAGTGTGAGCTCAACCCTCCCCAGACCATCGGCCCCGGCAGAGCTGGAAACACATCACAAACACTGGGTGAAACCACATTTCGAAGGCTCACGACATACCGATGAATGGAGACAGCACGAGTGATACACAAGGACAGAGCAGCTGTGTGGTGGGTAGATAGCTGGTGTCGCAAACTGGGCTACATTCCTGAGGTGAAAATTTCCAAACTTTGTAGACAACTACACGTACAACACTTGTTAAATGCCTTCTCTGGATTGCTCAGACAATTTCTGCGAGAGATACAAATCAACATAATTTTGCATCACTTCGAAAATGCTGAATCCCATTTGTGCAGAAACATTCAGGGTCACTCCGAAATTTCTTGCCACAGTTTATTTCTATTACCGCCACATTCCTGATGACTTAACGTAACATCCCTGATGTCTACCTTTCCAGCTACATCTCCAACTAGTCCATCTGTCAACATTCCACACACCCGTCTGTGACAGTGTACACTAACTCACTTCGTCGGCTCGGTCTTCTGAGGAGTTTCAGCGGGCTGGGTACCGGGTGACGTCACATCAGAGGGCTGCTTGTCGCTGGCCGGGGTCTGTGAGGCCGTGAGGGTACAGGTCAGCCACATAAAAACAATGGAAGACAGGTGAACATTAATGGAAGTGTGCCACAGACAAGGTATTGATTGAGGTATAAAATGTCTCAGGCTTACGTATTGACCCGCGGTAAGATCGAGGTCGTATTTCACCGAATATCGTCACATCTTCCTGGCAGGTACACAAACTACCCACACTCAAGTCTACAGCATCAGATGTCATGATGATATTCTTAAAGGGACCCTCCCACCTTAACATTAGATTTGAGTTGAGATAGCCAAATTGGTGGCCATGGCCTGAAAATACCGGTTTGGGCACTCACAACATCGAAAAATGCTTTAATTCGGAGATATCGAATTTCAAACTTGCAGTTTTCGGATTCTAAGGGGCTAATGCATTGGTATGCCCCCTTAGAATTTGTGACGTCAGCGGAGATCTAACGATTTTAAATCTTTTACTAAAACGTTTGGTAGCACGCGGTGGTATATGCTGCTTTGCGCGCAACAAATGCCGCACTTTCAAATAAAGTCGCTAGGAACAGCGGAGATCCCAAAAAGTAAACAAAAGTAAAGTCTAATATCTTGAAAACCGGTGAATATTTTTCGATGAAATTTGGTAGATATTCGTTTTTTGCTCTTTCTGAACCGAGCGGCATCACTTTCATGCCAATTCATTAACTTTTTTGAAGGTAGGAGGGTCCCTTTAATCCGCGACTGTATCAAAAACTTATAATACCAGCGCGACAGTGGACGAAGCATGGTTTCTAAGCCCTCACCTCAGCCGGGGTTGGCTCGGCTGCGGACTGGGGAGGCTCCTGTTTCTCCGAGCTGGGCTTCGGCTCCGGCACTGCCGTAGGTTTCGGCTCCGGCACTGCCGCGGGTTTCGGGTGTGAGCTGCCGAGCAAAGAAACTGCCGTCAGCCATTGCAAGAAGTGGTGACAACATGAGGCATGATGGAAAGTGGAAACACAGCGTGGGCTTGCATATAAAAAAGTGTTTTATTACGAGATTTGAGCTGATATTAGCCGTTTTCATGACAGCCATCTGGTACACATTTGGTGCAATTCTGGTGCAGATCAGGTGCAGATTTGGTCAAATCAGGTTCAGTGTGTCTCTTAGTAGCTATCAGCTAGGGTTACACTAATTGCTTATATGCCTGCTTTGTCGTATTATCAGAGAGCATCATCGATTAAAACACTGAAATAAATTCATAAAATGAAGATATTTGCTGTAAAAGAGATTAGGTGCAGATTTGGTCAAATTAGGTGCACTCGCCGGATAGACCGTCGTGAAAACGGCTATTGTGGCGTAGGCTGCGGTAACAACAACACCCAAAAGAACAAAGTGTAAGATTATAAATAGCAGTCAACTCACGAGTCGAACCGCTCCTCCGGCTCCAGGTCGAACCACTCGGTGGTTCCCGCCTCCAGGTTTACTCCGCGCAGGTCAATGTGTTGCTGAGGGAGAAACAAAGTACGAATGTAATGTAAACGTGAATTTGAGATAGGCCAAATTAATGAAGAAAGGCAGATCTGACGCGAAATCTCATTCCGATGAACTTTCGTCATCGTCATCAGCTCACCATTCCGATGACGGGGTTTCTGGCGAACGTTTTCTTGCTGACGACGAGCACCTCCAGTGTACGGAGCTGGGCCTCGCTCAGCGGACCTTTGTATTCAAACGTCTCCTCATACACCGGGTCACAGTTGTCCGTCAGTTTCTGAAGAAATAAAAACAATCGTGATGCAGACATCTCAAGTAACTAGGTGATCCGTATCATATCACCGTTCTGCACAAACGATTCGGTTTAAGTAAAGAGACGTACCTAAATTTATATTAACTTAAGATATAGATTTCTGCTACAGAGGTGATTAAGCGCAACAAAGCCGGTCCTTACCTTCGTCTTTCGTTTGTTGCTCTCCGATCTATCCGGCAGCAGGTAGGTCTTGACGTACGGATCGGGGATGTCGTCACCCTGCATAGGCAGGTTCCTGTGGACGAAAAGACAAGTCATAAATAAAACAAATTTGGGAACCCACTGGCTCTCTGAGCCACATTATCAATGTATGTACATTTTACTCGTAATAATGTAAGTTGCTATTCTAAAATTATTCTGCTACATTGTTTGGTCAGTCTGCAAATGGTATACACGCATATTGATTCGAAACTAATAATAAGAGAAATAGAGAAGCGCTTTAACTGTAATAAGAATCAGTCAACAGCCGGCGGGTTTGACCGATAACACTGTGGATTCCGTTAGCGGTCTACTCACACCACCCGGTGTACAGTGATCTCGAGGGCGTCCTTGGAACGACTGTGACGAAGTGTGAGCTCAACCCTCCCCAGACCATCGGCCCCGGCAGAGCTGGAAACACATCACAAACACTGGGTGAAACCACATTTCGAAGGCTCACGACATACCGATGAATGGAGACAGCACGAGTGATACACAAGGACAGAGCAGCTGTGTGGTGGGTAGATAGCTGGTGTCGCAAACTGGGCTACATTCCTGAGGTGAAAATTTCCAAACTTTGTAGACAACTACACGTACAACACTTGTTAAATGCCTTCTCTGGATTGCTCAGACAATTTCTGCGAGAGATACAAATCAACATAATTTTGCATCACTTCGAAAATGCTGAATCCCATTTGTGCAGAAACATTCAGGGTCACTCCGAAATTTCTTGCCACAGTTTATTTCTATTACCGCCACATTCCTGATGACTTAACGTAACATCCCTGATGTCTACCTTTCCAGCTACATCTCCATCCATTCCATCGGTCAACGTTCCACACACCCGTCTGTGACAGTGTCCACCACCTCACCTGGTCGACTCGGTCTTCTGAGGCGTTTCAGCCGGCTGGGTACCGGGTGACGTCACATCAGAGGGCTGCTTGTCACTGACCAGGGTCTGTGAGACCGCACGGGTGCAGGTTAGCCACATAAAAACAATGGAAGACAGGTGAACATTAATGGAAGTGTGCCACCGACAAGGTATTGAGGTATAAAATGTCTCACGCTTACGTATTGACCCGCGGTAAGATCGAGGTCGTATTTCACCGAATATCGTCAGAGCTTCCTGGCAGGTACACAACCTACACTCAAGTCTACAGCATCAGATGTCATGATGATATTCTTAATCCACGACTATATAAAAAAAAAACTTATAATACAGGGTGTCCCAGAAGTCTTGAAGCTTTTTTATTTTTGTCGTTGCTATGCCACCGATTAAGGCGAACCATGCCTCAAACGATAGAGAATGAACTGAAATTTTGTATTTTCATGCGTAGAGCACCACTTTAGTCAGGTGGCCCCCGTTGTGAGTCGCACAAGAACGAGCGCGAGAGATCACGTCTTTCGCTGCCGCCAAGATCTCTTGGTTTGCGAAACACCGGTGTCGCCATGCCCGTTTCTTGTCAGCTTCAGAGTCTTATTCCCTGAAGCGAGCGACATAATATTAGCGACATATATTTGCGACGGGGTGATATTTGTTTTAGCACCATAATAATGCGACGAATCAAAGGATTACAACGGGCTGTTGCTTAGCGCGCTCAAGCAGCTGAGCCTTATTTTCGTAATGGAGGCGTGCAAACATGTCAGGAGACTTTCTGATCAGTAAATCATTATGTTGCCAATGTTTTCTCGGAGATCCAATGCTCTGTTTCCTGGCTCGCTTCATGAAATAAGGCTCTGAAGCTGACCAGAAACGGGCATGGCGACACCGGTGTTTCGCAAACCGGGAGATCTTGGCGGCAGCGAAGAACGTGATCTCTCGTGCTCAATCTTGTGCGACTCACAACAGGGGCCACCTAACTTTGGTGGTGCTCTAGGCATGAAAATACAAAACTTCAGTTCATTCTCTTTCGTTTGAGGCGTCATTTGCCTTAATCAGTGGCATAACAAGGTCACACGACAAAAATAAAAAAGCTTCAAGACTTCTGGGACACCCTGTACCAGCGCGACAGTGAACGGAACACGGTTTCTAAGCCCGCACCTCAGCCGGGATTGGCTCGGCTGCCGGCTGGGGAGGCTCCTGTTTCTCCGGCTCCGGTGCTGTCGGCACTGCCGCGGGTTTCGGCTCCGGCACTGCCGCCGGCTTCGGGTGCGAGCTGCCGAGCAAAGAAACTGCCGTCACCCATTGCAAGTAGTGGTGGCAACATAAGACGTGCTGGAAAGTAGAAACACAGCGTGGGCTTGCATTACAAAAAGTGTTTTATTAAGAGATTTGAGCTGATATTGTAGCGTAGGCTGCGGTAACAATAGCACCAAAAATAACAAAGTGTAAGATTTATAAATAGCAACGTCAACTCACGAGTCGAATCGCTCCTCCGGCTCCAGGTCGAACCACTCGGTGGTTCCCGTCTCCAGGTCCACTCCGCGCAGGTCAATGTGTTTCTGGAAAGATGAAAATGTTGATTTATTAAAACGTGAAAATTCGAGATGGACGAAAATTAATGATATGGGCAGAGCTCTCGCAAGCTCGCGTCCAGATGTACTTTCTTAAAAAACGTCATCAGCTCACCATTCCGATGACGGGGTTTCTGGCGAACGTTTTCTTGCTGACGACGAGCACCTCCAGTGTACGGAGCTGGGACTCGCTCAGAGGACCTTTGTATTCAAACGTCTCCTCATATACCGGGTCACAGTTGTCCGTCAGTTTCTGAAGAAAATACAAACATTACGCCACAGTCCCGATTAAGTTTTGATGGTACATGATATTTTGCTTCATACAAAAGACTCAATCAAACCCATGTAATGCCTCTATTCAGAGCCCAATTATGGAAGCAAAACGATTACAAACGAACTCCACCCCCTGGGCATTTCGATAAGGCGCCATCCCTACCTCCGTTTTCCGTTTGTTCTTCTCCGACCTATCCGGCAGCAGATACGTCTTGACGTACGGATCGGGGATGTCGTCACCCTGCATAGGCAGGTTCCTGCGGACACAGCCAAGACAGTGATCAGACTCATATCGCTCTAATAGAACACATGGACTCCTATATGAATGGCTGAAACTATCTTTGAAAGGTAAAACGGTCTTGGATTCTGTCGAGAAAAAAAAAACGAGCATTGTCCCAGCAAAGAGAAGCCGAATGGTCACGATCATATTTGCGTAACACATAAAAGGTACATAATGAGTGAGACGGTAAAAATATTCACATGATTATGATGTGCCAGAGTAACTAAACTGAGAAAGACATATGAAAATGACGGGAGCATATTAACTGGCACAAAATATTACATGTAAATTTAAGTTGAGAAGCACCCGTTAGTTACGTGAATATCCTCATGCTTAATTAACAGTCGTATGCCACCGCCGCCAGTCCCCGAACGCCGGCCCTCCCCCGGTACTCACGCCGCCCGGTGTACGGTGACCAGTACCGCCTCTCTGGTGTCGCTGTAGCGGAGAGTCAGCTGCACGCGACCCAGACCGTCCGCCCCGGCCGACCTGTGGAGCGGCGGTCACATGTGAAACAGATGGCGGGTGAGAGGACAGCACGACCGAGTCCGTCCGCTCCGGCCGACCTGTGGAGCGGCGGTCACAAATGAGACAGGTGGCGGGTCGAAACGGCAGGTGGAGGGTGAGAGGACAGCACGACCCAGACCGTCCGCCCCGGCCGACCTGTGGAGGATGGGAAACGGGGGGTGGGGCGATGTAGGCGACGGACCGTAGCAGCAAGGAATGAATGGGTGAGAGGACAGTCGCGACATCACAAATGCTTGGGAAAGTGTAATGGAAGTGCGGTTTATTTGTCGACGCGTGAAATTGTGCACGAGAAGTGAAAAAGTAAATTATTATTTTCTGGGTGAATGTGGGGAGATGTAAGGCAGGGGGCTGTCATCCCGAGCTTTCCTATGTGCCGGGCGCCCGACTCTTTAACATTAGCCGTGACGTCACGGGAGCGTACACTTCTCAGCTGGCCTTCGCCGCAAGTTTGGCCTTGCATATGATTTTGAGGGTCACGGTTGTAAACAAGTTCCTTTCCGGAAACGTTCCGGAAACGCTAGAAACGTTGTCATGCTTTTATTTTCCGGAAAATGCTTCATTACTAATTCGCGCCTAAAATCACTTTAACCCTCGCCGGCACAGGGGGAACCCCCCTAAGGTTTTTCGCGAATGACTCGCGTAAAATGCGGCCGATCACGACGAAACTTTTAGTATCCTCGCATTGATCAATTTGACACCTACCCTGAAAATTTCATGACCCTGACCCAAATGACCTTTGACCTGTGACCTCTTTTCCGAGACCATGTTTGGCCGGAATCACGATTCGGCGTATGTTGGCTCGCATTAGCCGCGCGTTTGCAAGCTTTTCGTGGTTTCAATCGTCCAAACATGTGATTTGATGTTGCTCCCATGCATTAGGGTGGGTGTCAAGGTCACCTGAAGGTCAGGTCAGGTCATTGACCTTTGGTGACCTCGGTTCACTTTTTCGAGTTTTACATGTTTCTAGGCTAGTTTTTGGAGCTGAATTCGAATTTAGCAATCATTTGAACATTAACGAAGTAGTTTCGGTGCCTTCGTAACATGCTACGAAGCTGTCAGAGACGGATGACAGGTACTACGAATACCCGTCATGACCCCTACCGGTTGACCTCTGATCTGACCCGACCTGGTCTGAACGCTTAACGACATCATCTGTGATCAAAACTAACACGATATTCGTGATCAGCACCCCGGAAAACCCTTAGCAGCCACACTTTACGACTTTCTAACAGGTCCCGGTATTCCCGATTTTTGGGTCATTGACCTGACCTGGAAGGTCAACCGATGACCTAGGACCTTAAACTTAAATATCATTGGCTTCCTCTCGTGACGGGCAACACGCTCGTTTTTTCCGCGAAGCTCTAGCTCCATCAGGGGCCAAATGCGAGGGGGAGGGGTCGTACCAACCCCCCCCCCTTGTGCCGTCGAATGACAAAATGGCCTGTGCCGGCGAGGGTTAAACATAGGTTCCTTAACGATTTCCTAATTGTACACTGTTGCATTGTCTGCATGGTGAGGAGAACGCTAACCGGTCAGAAGGGCGCGATGTGTTGTGAGGAGGGCGCCGACAGGTCAGGAGGGCGCTGTACGATGAACGACTGGTCAGGAGGGCGATGCATGGTGATGAGGGCGCTATGCGTTGCAAAGGGCGCCGGCTGGTCAGGAGGGCGCTGAACGCGAAGATGTCGCCGACAGGCGAGGAGGGCGCTAACAGGTCAGGAGAGCACTGCACAGTGCACGGTGATGAGGGCTGCGACAGATCTGGAGGACGCTGTCCGTGAAGCGGGTGCCGACAAGTCAGCAGGGCGCTGTATGGTGGGGAGAGCGCCGACAGGTCAGGAGGGCGCCGTGTGGTGAGGAGGATGCCATACGATGAGAAGGGCATTATACGAGTGAAGAGGGCGCTGACAGGCCAGGAGGATACTGTATAAAGAGGAGGCCGCGGACAGGTGAGGAAGGCGATGCACGGTCATGAGGGCGCCGACAGATCAGGAAGGGCCCTCTACGGTGAAAAGGGCACCGACTTGTCAGGAGAGCGCTGAACGTAGAGGGCGTCGGTCTGGAGGGCTTTGTAATTTGTATGGTTAGGAGGCCGCTATACAGTGAGGAGGATGGCGACAGGTGAGGAGGACATTGTACGGTGAGGAGGGCGCTATAATACGATAAGGAGGGCGCTGCCAGGTCAGGAGGGCGCTGACATGTGTGGACTTGTGGAGGACGAGACAGATAAGGAGGATGCTGTGTGATAATGCCCATGAGGGCGCCAACTGGTCTGCCCGGAGGGCTCCGAATGTGAAGAGGGCGCCGACAGGCCAGGAGAGCGCTGAAGGCCGAGAAGGGCGCCGACAGAGCAGAAGAGCGCCGAACAGACAGAAGGGCGCTAAAGGTGAGCCGAGGGCGCTAGATGGTCAGGAGATTGGGAGTGGATATCCGGCACTTCAGGATTGTGGGTGCTTCTTCACCCACAAAGAGATATAAAATTGCATAGACTACTACATATCTATGTAGTAGTCTATGAAAATTGTAAACCTGGGCGCCAGTGCCGCATGATGTGCCGCAATGGCTTACCGTCGAGGGCGACTAGAGTGCTGGACGTGGACACTGATAGGCGCCATCGGCGCGCAGAATGATCGTGGAAAGCGCCTGCTAGATTTGGGAGGGGCTAAAGCCCAGTGTGCCCCCTCCCTGGCTGCGCCCCTGAGTCCTTGGTCTAGCGATTTTCGAAGTACCTACCTACGTATCGCTCCGTAGCGCCTAGCGGCCTTGGGAGCTGCCGGTGACTACACGGCCTACGGGTCCCGATTCATGTGGGAATAACACCACAGGGCACCGCATCTTTTTCGAGATAGATGACCGTTCCGAAGCGTGTCGCATTTTCCTGAGCATAACCTGGCGTTAACATAATATTAAGCGCCTGCAGGCCCCCTCCTGCCTGCGGCTGACAGCTTTCTGACGAGCCACCTGGCGATCGCCAACTCAACCCTAATTGCGGCGTTGTCCACTAGGTGGCGGGTTCATACGATCCAAGTTAGGACAAGGAATTCTCATAATTATTTTGTTATCATATTTTCCCCTTTTTAAAGTCATTTAAAAGCGCTATTGCAGAAGTAATTTTTCGATTGGCAGCGATTGCAGCCGCCGCATCAGGGTCCGGATCGAGCCGGGGAGCGTATGCGCCGGTGACGTCACCGTAGTGTTGCAGATTTGTAACATTAGCGAGCCCGGACGATCTTACCTAACTTATACGGCCTTGATGTAAGGGATGTTGACACGGATCGACTTGGGAAGGATGTGTTCTTACCAATATAACGAATACGAACGATCTTTTATTACAAGCTATTTCGGCTTTATTTTACGATAATCGAATCGAAGAGTTGGCAGTTGAAGAGATGGCAACTGGAGACTTGTGTTATCGGTCATTCGATAGTTTAACTTGGCTGGAAGTATGGTCGAAGTTAACTGGCGTTGCTGGCAAGTGATGCTCGCAGCGACAGGACTGGTGGCGGTGGAGGCCCGCTGGCTGAAGTTGACGGAGGTGCTAGCGAGTGATGCTCGCAGCGACAGGACTGGTGGCGGTGGATGCCCACTGGTTGAAGTTAACGGAAGTGCTGGCCGCTGGCGAGTGGTGCTCGCAGCGACAGGACTGGTGGCGGCGGATGCCCACTGGTTGAAGTTAACTTGAAGTGCTGGCGAGTGATGCTCGCAGCGACAGGACTGGTGGCGGTGGAGGCCCAGTTGAAGTTAACTTGAAGTGCTGGCGAGTGATGCTCGCAGCGACAGGACTGGTGGCGGTGGATGCCCACTGGTTGAAGTTGACGGAGGTGCTGGCGAGTGACGCTCGCATCGGGTGGTGTGATTGATCAGTGATCACTATGCTTCTTTGTCACTTATGTGTGGCTTGAAAGCCAGGTGGCGGTGTAATGGAAGTGCGGTTTATTTGTCGACGCGTGAAATTGTGCACGAGAAGTGAAAAAGTAAATTATTATTTTCTGGGTGAATGTGGGGAGATGTAAGGGATGTTGACACGGATCGACTTGGGAAGGATGTGTTCTTACCAATATAACGAATACGAACGATCTTTTATTACAGAAAGCAAGACGAACAGACTGCATCAAACATTAAGTGATACGTAATATGTCAAAATAATGTAATTTAGATTAGCTCCAAAGCGTAAAAGCCTAGCAGTTAAACGCAGCGAACTCAAGAATCAAACAGAAAACGACCATTTTCTCTCGCGTGTTGGCTCACTCCATTCACGTGGTACCCTGTGATCTTTCCCGTACTCTTGTCCTACCCGTGGAAGCCTTCCGATACCCTTACCAAGCATCCCGCCCAGGGACGGTACCCCTCGACAGTTGAGTGAACTCACTTTTCGGCGGGCGCCGGGGCTTCGGAGGTCGGTCGGTCGGAGGACAGCTCCCGGATGAGAGCGTTCACATCCTCCCGGTCCTGCCAGAACAAGCAGTTATCAATTAATACCGACAGCAGACGGCTTGATCTTGTGGGCGTTTCGATGCTAATTATTTTTGTGAGTGAAGTACGACTTTACTGGGGATGTTCAAAATCGATGCCAAACGAAGGTTGTGGTGCAGGTCCTAATAAGCCTCTAATCGGGAATCCAATGAGTTATCGAGGCGAACTGAGGAGCTACTGAGGCGGACGTGAGAGCAGCTGAGGGAGTCATGAGCTAATTCGGACCTGGAATTTAACGAGGAGTTTGAGCTCACCAGCCGCATCTTCAAACTGACAATGGGAGTAAATCGGCTTAACAACTATGACGTTATTGTGATCGGTATCCGTGGCATAGAGCCAACGCTATCAGCAGCGTGGCTGCGTCATTCAACCGCAAGCCGGTCGCGCATACCTCATGACAAGACCGAATCAGTAATCACACGTCACTAACCTGTTCGTACAAGCATAAATCAGAAAAAACACGGACACAGTAGATTTTGACCAGCATTTTAATCTCCTATACCACCTAAAATAAAATTCATTTCGACATCAGCGGCAGCTTCAAATCTTTTCCGTTTCCTACCTGTGCGGGGACCACCTCCACCTTCTTCTCCCGCTTCGAGTCCTTTCTGACGGGACTGGGCGGCGACGCCCTGCCCTTAGAGCCGATCGAGCTGTACGGGTCGTACTCTGTCTGGTCTTCCGAGCTGCGGCACATGTTCACGGAACGATAGAGCAGGCAGAGGGGGGGGGGGTGTAATGTACGCATCGCACATGCACCGAGGGTGGTCAGGGGTAGACTTCAGTAAAGATGATGGTTACGTTTAGGGCGTCATGAAGAGCTTGGTGAGTAGGAAATATATTTGTTTACTGGGCGAGTTGGCGTATGCAAATGGAAGGTCAGTGATAAACAAAGATCAGTAAGAGCACGCTGTTGTGACGAGTGCAGATTTCATGATTATCCATAACTAAGACTGTCGAGTTCGCTGCCGCCGCCGCAGGGGTAACTAGCTGTCACGGGTAGTCACTCGGTGCCATCTCACCTGTTCTACCGGGATGGGCCGAGTGTACTACCAGGAAAGGCAGTCCGCATGCCCCGGCCGTCGGCCAGCAGAAGAGCTTTCAGCGGTTAGCATTTACAGCAGTCAGTAGCAGCCAGTTAGTGGCAGCCTGTAGCCCCATACGAGCAGGTTACCCCGAGCCAGGCACTGGCAAGATGAAAGTATAGCAGAAAGGAGGGCTGAAGCGGGCGCAAAGTAGTGTCTGGAGGGCTGTTTTTCGAAGTTTTGGTATCAGTTCGAGTAACACATGTAACGAACCTCTAATAGTGTCAGCCAGATCAACAGTTATCTTTATACCCCATAGAAGGCACTACGATACTACGTGTGCAGGTACTACGATACGTGCAAAGATGGAGGGGTAAGGTCGGCCGTAACCCCAGTTAGTTACAAGAAGTCCTGAAGTACGTATATGTAGCAGAGCCCGTCAGTCACTTCTCAGCATACGCATCTAATAGTGAAAGTTTTCTACGAGCGTTAATTCCATAGGTATTCATTCCATTCACCGCAAATACCCCCAGCAAAACAAATTTTGCACTAAAATGTGTATTAAGACAAGCGTGTTACAATACACCTCTGTTAACAAGTAAGATTGCAGATAGATTATTCTACACTTGGTTGGCTTTGCTCGTCCAGATCTGTTCCACACCACTCATTCACAAAGATCACTACAGAGAGCGGTAAGAACAACAGGGGTCACTTCGACCCGGACTAGTCTCGAAAACAAGTCGGCAGGGCGTCGCCTCTGCCAGGCACCAACAACACGAGGAACGGAAGCCAAGCAGTGCTAGTTCAGTCGCCTCCAGCCCTAGCTGAGGCGGACAGGGCCGCGCCTGCAGTAGAGAGCAACAGTTCCGTAACCAAGTCAGTCCACGGCACTAGTAGAAGGCCACACGTGCCAGAGATGCTGCACCCGTAAATAGAGAGCCCACCGAACAGCGAGTCGCGACAGCAGCTGAGCGCGAGGCACTTTAATCGATACTGCTCTCGGCAGATTGTGAAAAAGCAGCGTTCCAGCCGGTGTACATCATTTAGTTTGAAACAGCCGCCTTTTTTCTCAGTCACCAGACATGCGGCACCTATCACGCCCGTGAAGTGAGGTCACCATCATCGAACAGTTCCAGGCGACATCACGACTTTTTCGCACGTCTCAGTGCGGCGCTCTTGCCGTTGTGTTTAGCGTTGGAGTCTGCTGAACCAGAGGACGAATAGCCGTGGCTGCGCCTCCGCCGACCGAGCAGCGGAGTGGTGATCGCATGCAACAGGCCGCGCCGGTGACTGCGCGCCGAGAGAGAGAGGGGAGAGAGGGAGGGAGAGAGTGAGTGAGCCAGCGTCGCGACACCGTCCGGCGCCGGGCGGACTGGCAGAGTTGACATCACAGTGACAGGGCGTCAAACTAGAGAGCTGAGAGGGCAGTTCGGAGCCGCCTGACATTCGACCAGAGAAACGACTGTGAAGGGACGAACTTGAATCGCCACCACAAACCCTAGCACCACGCCAGAAGCCAAGCGGACCGCACCTTAAGCGCCCGAGCATGCAGTGTCACAAAGAGGTGAGAGAAGCCACACCCCGACCTCACCACGCAAAACCAACCAGGACGGACCAGCACCAGCTAGCACCAGCCTAGGCGCCAGTGGCCGAGAGGAAAGCACTAACGGACTGCGCCGACCGCCCTCCGCCTGCCCGGCGGCGGCGGCGGCGGCGGCGGCGGCAGACTGGACAACGCCGTGAGTTAGACCAAGCAGCAGAGCCGGAACAGCCCGGCTGACACCATCGGCTGGCACCCAAAGGACGCCCGCACATGTACAGCTGTGGAGGGGAGGGAGGGAGACGCAGCACCACACACACCGAGGCACGGCGCCGGCGGCGGCGGCCGGCGCGTCAGCCCACACCCCACGCGCCACCTACGAGTCGAATCGCTCCTCCGGCTCCAGGTCGAACCACTCGGTGGTTCCCACCTCCAGGTTCACTCCGCGCAGGTCAATGTGTTTCTGGGGGAGAGGCGGGGAATTGTTGGACACACGAAATAACAAATAAATCACTGCCACAAAAGGTGCTGTATCGGCCTTTATACGCCCAACAGCAGACAAGAAAAAAAAACATCTCGGCACGGCAAAATAAGCACACACACAATCCAGCACTTCCTTGCTTTCAAAGACGTTGTGTCATTAAACCATTTACTAAAGCTTTAAGTTGAAATAAGAGTTAATAAGTCAAATAGCGCTACTCCCGTAAGTGTAACAACAGACCAGACAATACCATTTGCGTTCCCTTCGAGTTTATCCTCACCATTCCGAGCACGGGGTTTCGCGCGAACGACTTCTTGCTGACGACGAGCACCTCCAGTGTGCGGATGCGGGTCTCGTTCAGAGAGCCGTCATACTCCAGGGTTTCATCGTAGACGGGATTGCAGTTGTCCTTGAATGTCTGAAAACAAGAATAAACTTTGCTTGTGAAAGACGACAAAGACGCCGGCAAGGTAAGTGATGAATTCCAGCTAGAGGCACAGCAGGGGCATTCCACGATAGATCGACCAAGGCCTAACACCCGACCATTTTTGATTTTGATGAAATCTTGTCTATAGGGTTCTCTTATGCCCTGAAGTCAATGGTGACAACGCCAGGCCCCTACGGTCAGCGGTTTAGGAGATATAGCCCCGGGCATTTTGACGAGGTCACTCTGCAGAGTGATTTTTGAGGTGCTATATCTCCTAAAGTAATGAAGGAAATGCATTAAACCTGTACATCGTTGTGATGGCGGTGAAATAAGCAATTTATTGGCTATCTCGGATTTCCAAAAAAGTTATTTTGATTTTTAGCTGTGACGTCATCAATTTTTAAATTTTCTGGCTACCCCCCTAGTACATTAAAATTTGTCATTATTTTTGCTCAGAAATATAGATCGGTCAATGTTCTTTTGACTGTCAAAAAATAAAAATGGTAATCTTTCTATAAATATTTTATTTTATTTTTTGAAAACAACTCTGTAATATGAAATTTGCATACATTTGCTCTGAAACGACAAATAGGTGCAGCTGGCACGGACAGTGGAAGGACTGGATTTATAAAACACCTAAATAATATTTTCTTGAATATTTTTCGCAACTGGAACAAAGCGTAAGATATTTTAATCTAACCCTCGCCGGCCGAGGGGGGGGCGGGTGCCGCCCCCCCCCCCATAGGGTTTTTTCGCGATAGCTCCGAACACGCCGGCGGTAGAGAGCTGAAACTTGGCATACCTGACCTTTGATCCAAGCCGCATCTTTTGACACCAACCGCATTTTTGGGTCAGGTCAGGTCACTGACCTATGACGTCATAAGTGAACCTCTGCACGGTCTTCAGATGTCGCAACTTCGCAACGCCCTCACTGCCAGAGGAGATGTCACAGGGAAATGAAACTTGCAGGATCTAGTATCCATTATGAGTCTCACAACTTGTATATCTCGGATTTTTCCTAAAGGTCATATGAGGTCAGGTCATTTTCGTGACCTCACCATTATAAGTCAATGGGGAAAAATGAAAACTGCTATTCTGGCGCCGGGAACGATCTCCAACTATCTCAAGCACACAGAATCGTGATTTGATGCACTCCTTGCAAGGTTAGATGCGTCACTTTTGCAATGTTGACCTTTCGTGACGTCATTTATGACGTCATCAAGGTCATATTAGTTTTTCGTCAATAACTCTTGATCAAATTGAGCTAGCGAGCCGGGAAAGCCACCAATGGACTCAGGAAGACCTGCCAAATCGAATGATATGCGACATGACCCCTTTAGACCAACTTCGTGACCTTAGGGTGCTGACCTGACCTTGACCTGAGGTCAACACCCCAAGTTGACCTGACCCGAACAAAAAGTATATCATTCGACGCGCCTGAGCGAGGCGAACACGATGCTGCCAAAATCGCGGCTCTGCGGCCATTTTCCACGAAGTTATTCATCAAAAACTGAACCGTACCTTTGGGCACTTGACCTGACCTCAGAGGTCACCGGTTGACCTAGGACCTTAAAATCGGGTACCAATCTCTGCGTCTCGTAACGGCGCACACGCTCGTTTTTTCCGCGACGCGCTAGCTCCACCAGGGGCGAAACGGCGAGGGGGGGTCGTACCCGCCCCCCCCCCCTCGGCCGGGGCGTATGTAGAAAACCAATAGGTCCGGCGAGGGTTAACATTCTGTATTTCCCTACATATATGCCGAAACCCAGATAACCTCTTTTTGGAAGTAACTGGTCCTTGCAGATGTGTCTTATATTGCTTAATAACCCGATTCTGTAAATCAGAGTTTGTAGTGCGATTTTCAAAAAATAAAATAAAATATTTGTAGAAAGATAATACCATTTTTGTTTTTTTCCAGTCCAAAGGAAATTGACGGAACTTTATTTCTGAGCAAAAATAATGGCAAATTTTAATGTACTAGGGGGGTAGCCAGAAAGTTTAAAAATTGATGACGTCACAGCTAAAAATCAAAATCATTTTTTTGAAAATCCGAGATGGCCAATTAATTGCCCATTTCACCACGATCACAACGATGCAAAGGTTTAATGCATTTCCTTCATTCCTTTAGGAGATATAGCACTTCAAAAATCACTCTGCAGAGTGACCTCGTCAAAATGCCCGGGGCTATATCTCCTAAACCGCTGACCGTAGGGGTCTGGCGTTGTCACCATTGACTTCAGGGCATAAGAGAACCCTGTAGACAAGATTTCATCAAAATCAAAAATGGTCGGGTGTAAATCTGATAAAATTTTGGTCGATCTATCGTGGAATGCCCCAGCATCAGAACGCGAATGAACTGCAATAAAATATGTGCTTATGAAAGTGATATGTGTCTCACCTGAGTCTTCCGTTTGTTGCTCTCCGATTTGTCCGGCAGCAAGTACGTCTTGACGTACGGATCAGGGATGTCGTCACCCTGCATGGGTAGGTTCCTGGAAAGCAAGCATACGATACAGTCCCTGTCCGTAACATGACCACCCTCCAACAGGACATTTTGGAGCAATACATTTCGCAACACAGCCTACAGACACCAACTGTCACCTTAGATACAATTCCCGCCACGCGCCTTCTTCATTTTTTCACACAAACGAGCACTACAATTTCTCCCAAAACCATAAAATGCACTATGAACGTAACCTCTCTTCTTACTCCGTACAGGAACATCCCCAGTTTTATCGTAAAAAAGAGAACCTACCACGCAGTAAGAAGAGAACGGTCCACTCCCAAATGTTAAAATCGCTGCTGTACTCACGCCACTTTGTGCACGGTGATGACGAGCCGTCCGCGGGTGGTACTGTACCGCAGGGTCAGCTGGATCCGACCCAGACGGTCCGCACCCGCAGGACTGGAGAATAAGGAGGAAACAGCGTCAATACGTCGTTCAGCCTTTACATTTATCGATATATTCCTTGTCATCGTGGAAGCTTACTGGGATTTTGCATATCAATCAATCTCTTAGTAGAGTAGACAAAACAATTTTACTGGAGTGAAACGAATTCATGTCGCGCTAGTAATGCTTTGTGAACATAAAAATGACATGAATAATTAGGTGGCAATGGCACATCTCAGCCAGATCTTCAGCAGCACGTTAAAAAAGTAATTCAATTTAGCAAAGTAGGCAATAAGAGAGATCCAGCTCCCCACTATCCGAGCTCGATGGTAAACTATTCATTCCGTTAGCAGTACTGACTTTTCCGGTTTGCGCTGCCTCAGTCCGGACGTCTCTGTGACCGGCGAGTCGGTGGACAGGTCCTGCAGCAGTGTCTCTACTTCCTCGCGGGTCTGAGGGGGAGGGGGAGGGGGTATAGTGAGAGAACGCCAAACGACAGGTTCTGGAACAGCTTCTCCACCTCCTCGCGGGTCTAAAGGAGAGATTAGGGGGGTCAGCAAGGGATACCTACTTCAGCTGATTGGGGACATATCCTGGATTACCATCACCACCTCCTCACGGGTCTGAGGGAGATAGTGGAATTAACAGCAAATTAGCGAGGGTACGCTCGATAGGGACTCAGCTTCCTAGCTGTTTTGTGGTGGTCACAAGGGAAGGAGGGGAAGGTTTGTCAGGTGGGAGCAGTGATGTCTGTTCATCCTCTCACGGATCTGGGGTGGCCATGACGGAAAAATGCGCCAGAGCGGACGGTAATCAGGGTCTCCACCTCCTCTCCCATCAAGAGTCTGGGGATGGATTGCAGTGATACTGGGGACGTAATATAAACATTGCATATTTTACAATAACTCACTCACTACCATGCGGATGTGTAAAGTTCACTCACCTCAGCCGGCACGGGCTCCACCTTGGACTCCCTCTTCTTGGTCTCCTTTTTGACGGGGCTGGGCGGCGACGGTGGCACGTCATCCGTCTTGGCGGCCGGTTTGGGCACGGCCGGGGTCGGGTCAGGCACGGCAGTCGGCTGGGCGGGGTCGGCAGTCTTACCGGAGGCCGCGTCAGTGTCTGGGGGAGACAGACAGTGGGTTACTGAACTGGGCAGGGAAGTGTAACACTGGGTCCGTGCCTGCAAGATCGGAGTATAAGGGAGACAGAGGGAGGGTTACCGAGACGAGCGACGGAAAGTGTGCGCTGTGCAGCATAAGAGTGGTGAGTTAGTGTGAGTACATGGTAGACACTGAACATGTAAGAAGTTCTACAGCTAAGTTTTAAGGTTTAATCATAACAATGAGATGTTAATATCGGCAGTAAATGGTGAGATACTGCACAATGGAATCATTTGCTAAAAGTTCATTTTTCAGTTAACGAAAAATAGTAATTTTCAAAAAATAAATACTTACGGGATTGAGCTGGGACACTGAGAGCATTGGCGGCACTGATAATTTGGACGAAATGGGAGCAAAAGGAACAAAACCACTATCTAGCATGATTGATTATTCACAGAGCGCGGATAGTCGACAACATCAACAACGAAGATCACACGGAAAAGACGACGCGATGAGGGATGACAATGGTGATCACGTCTTCGATGACGTCGATGACGGGACGTGATGACTTTCGGTGAGCAGGACGCGCCGTGGATGACGGAACACAGCGGTGCCAGGAGTAGGGCCGGAACAGGACGGTAGGATCAGCAGGATTGGCGGTAGCGGGCCGCAGGATCGGATTCCGGACACCTATTCCTTCTTGGGTCGACTTGTTCCTGGCAGAGGAAAAAGGAACACAGCGTTTCAGCCATCACACAGGAATAAAAAAAAAACAATCAGAAATCAGGAAGCATGGAAGAAGTGCCGAAACTCAGACGTAAGACTAAGACGTAAGACTAAGACGCAAAATTTAGAGGTAACGGGCACTGCAATAATCTATGTGCACTCAACATAGGGCTGAAAGGCGACCCACCCAACCCCGACTCCCACCAGCCCCTCTCCCATATTCTGTCGTTGAACAGCCTCACTCGGCGCCGCCGCTGATGTGGCGGCCTCACCTGGTTTGGCGGCCGGCGGCGGGGCCGGAGCCACCGGACGCAGCGGCATCGCTGACGGTATCTTTCCCTCGAGGTCCTCGGGTGCCACCTTGTCGTGGGTCAAAATCTGTAAAAACAGGCGCACAAGAGTCTGCAAATAATGCGCTAGAATAGTTGGTTTACGATAACTCTTAACCACAAAAATATCACCAACATAAGATTACAGCGTCTCTTTGCTAAGCTGTACATATTGTTGCTAAGCCGTCGCACCTATAAAAACTGATTCTACCCGAGCTCAAATTCCTCCTTACAGCCACGATAAACAAAGTTTGCGTTCCCCTCCCCCAATAACATCACTAGCATCATCACCAATGCCTTCCACGCCGACCTCTACCCTCACCATCGCGCAGAGTGACCGTCGACTCACCCTCAGCTGAATGGAGAGCACCACCTTGGACTGCGGGCCCGAGTTGTACAGCGTGTGCGGCTGCTCGGTCACAGACAGATCCGCCTCTCGGAGCAGCGACTTCAGCTCGAGCTGCATCGAGCCCAGAGACTTACCCGAGCTCTGGTCCTCCACCTGAGACGGAGCAGAGACGAGTGTTAAAATGGCACGACGAGCGAGACATGAAAATGACGGGGATACGAAGCCATGTTATGTCGGAAGACTGAAGGCAACCATGGCAAGGAACATTTCGTGTGGTAATCAGAAGTCATCTGAGATTTAACCATTACCTAGCGAAGTAATACTTATAAGCGGAATTGAAGCCGGTGCCTAACTCGCGGGGAAACCAAATTCAAGACCCCCAGATCGACAATCGACATACAGCTCCCAAAGCAGACATGAAAAAAGAAAGCCCTCAGCTATAAAACGAACTGTTCTCTGCCATACCTCCTTCGGCCGAGAGACCATCACTACCCATTTTCACCATCCCACCTCGTTCTGTTGCGAGCCTACCTCCAGAGTCATGGTCTGTGTGAGCGGGTTCTTGACGAGGAAGCTGAAGCCCTCCTCCCAGACGGGGTCCAGTGTGCGGTACTTGCACGAGGTGGCCTCCTTCTGGTTGCCCAGCACCAGACGCACCAGCGGGTCCGGCTCCACCGCCCGCGACGCCATCTGTGGAACACGCGGTGAGCTCAGCGTGCACATCTGGTGAAAGGGGACATTGGGCTGACAGTCGGTACCTTAAACGTACGCATATACGTCATGATTGCATGGAACAAAAGAAACACATTAACTAATGTTGGTAGGTACGTAGTTATAGCCTGCGGCAAGTACTGTAACAAACAGCTTCGTTGCAAAAAAGTAAGTGGTGGACAATAATTACTCCACGGTTTACTATCAGTCGAACTACGAATAAAAAAACAATGAGAAATGTACAAAAATGAGACATATAGTAAGCTTCGTCTGTCACTGCATATCCAAGCTGATTCGTTAAGCTAGTGTAATTCTGAAGGAGCAGCTCAGACAGCCTGGCAACGGCCCACCCACCGGCAGTTTTTTGGCCGAGTCGACGAACACGGTCAGCACTGCCGAGTGCAGGCCGGAGTGGTCGAACGCAGACAGGTCCTCAATCTCGTTCAGTTGCTGGAGCACAAGCGGGACATCGTCAGTGAGTCTCGATATTGACCATTTAGCGGGAAAGCGCAATGCTACCGAGTTTTGGAAAGCAGTATCGCAAATGCTCACAAAAAAAACTAAAACCATTTTAACATGAGCATTGTTCAATGATACACATTAGAAAGTACTGACATTAGTGTAAAATACATGATTGATATATTTCACATTTACAAGTCCAAGATCTCGTGGATACAAGGTCGTTCAGATGTTGAGACGCTCCCCTACCTTTTTGATATCAGCCACGTTTGTCGACAGACTGAGCCAGTCGAGCTTCAGGTGAATCCTGCCACTCCGGGCCTGCTCCAGGGGCACCCACTGAAAACGGCAACGAGCGGGGTTAGACAGTAACAATGAACAATTCAGCCGGTGATAGTTAGGACAGGCCGGTTCTTATTCAGGGGAGCCCACTGTAAGACAACGAATGAGATGAAACAGCAGCACAGAACATCAGCCAGCCAATGTGATGGCACGCAGGGAATAGCCACAGCAGTGAAATCTCACATATGGGGAAATAGTTGTAACTTACATCCATATTCCATAGTGTCTGTCGTTGGTCAGCCTAAAGATACGCATGGTCGAAACATTTTATTAGAGGGAAATTTTTACGATGTACGATGAAACGCATGGGGAGGTGTCGACTGCTCCGACTCTCATTTCACTAAAACTGTTCCCATATGACCCAGGATCGACCCAAAGACTCACCAGGTCCTGGGATCCAGCCTTGGCGATGTCTGCCACATCCAGACCGCACCTGGGACAGGGTCAGGAGTCATACCACATCCCAAACATGACCGCAGTCGGACCGGATACAGCATGAAAAAGAACAACTCTTTTCGTCAATGAACAAGACTACTTTAGTCCTTGTAAGGACTAGCTAGACAAGGTTTGACAAGTTACTGATTTTCCATAGAAGCCACAAGCAACCGACGTTATCAATGATATGCATTATGCAATATGTAATCGATATACAGTACTCGTACCGTCACAAGTGTAACTATATAAATAAGCAGTGCGTTTGTACACTTAGCATAACCGTGTTTACATAAAAGTGAGATCAACCACATACTTGTTATCAATCGCCGAATTGAATAATGCAACCCAAACCAACCACAACACAAGCAGAAAGAAGCATGCAATCGCGTCGATGTATAATCTAATAAGGCATGCATGTTGAAGGCAAAAACATTTGGGGTTTACATACGGGACGAAAGCGTAACAACGATCTCAGCAGAGACAAAAAGCAGATAGATCAGACGGAAACGCTACACTCAGTGCGCTGAGAGGTAAACAGACATCGAATTTCTAGGATGTTCAACATCAACTCAGGTTAAAAGGATAGAAACATAAATGAAAAAGCAGGATTTCAGAATAACCGAATATGTAAAGGGAGTAGCATATAATGAAATAACTCTAAGCAAAGCCTAGTTGGCATTTGAGCTGAAACAATCAATAAATAAGATGCCAGAGTTAGGATAATGGGAGCAGGAAAGGATAGGGCGCAACTGGTCCTGCTGAGTCACGGCGAAAGGAAAGTGAGGCCAGATGAAGCGGCGGAGAGGACGTACCCTCCGAGCGGCTCGTCGGTGCGGCCCCGGTCGTAGTCGTACAGGGTGATCTGCACTCGGAAGTGGGAGTCGCAGTCGCCCTGGTGGACAAGGATGGGCGCTGGATAGGTTAGAGACGGGTGCTGGAGGTGGGAGGGGTTAGACACAGGCGCTGGAGACGGGAGAGGTTAGAGACGGGCGCTGGAGAAGTTAGAGACGGGTGTTGGAGAGGTTAAACAAGGTTGAAGACGGCACCGGTTTTAGCATTCGCCCTTTTACACAAGGACAGGCGCTAGAGAGGTTAGACACAGAGGGAAGCCAGAAAGGAGACAGCGCTGTGCTAGAAATTGGTGCCAGGGAGGTTAGAAATGGGTTGGAGGCGACAGAGGTTATGGAGAGAGCCGCAGAGGGACGCTGGAAAGGTTAGTAATGAAGGGCGCTGCAGAAGTCAGAGGACGCTCGGGAGGGTAAAACCGGGCTGGACGAGTCCTGAATAGGATAATTCCTGAGGAGGGAGACTCAGCCCTGAAGCGGATAATAATAAGGATTTTCAAAGAGAATAAAGACGTCTTCAGGATACATTTGCATGATGTTTAAGTATCAAATTCGACATTACTGGTACTAAATGAGTCTAATTGGCATTAAATACCACATGGTCCAGAAAATACATTACTGAGTTATTATGATAACTCGATCTGTACACGTTAGAAGCATAAAATAGAACATCATCACACAAAAAAAGCGAAGCACTGTGACTGCGTCGTGTTTAGATTCCTTGGTAGTCGGGTAGTTGCAGCAGCGAACACCGGCTGAAAACAAAAAACTAAGGCAAAACAACGCAGGGAATCTGTAAACGCACGCTAAAGGTTACATTAGAATCCACATCAAGCCAGACAAACTAAACAAAAACACCTCAGTTACTGAAGTCATCTGTCCGAGGACAGCACGCCACAAAACTACAGAACACAGCCCAGCAAGCCAGCGACCCCGACTGGACCAAGCCGGACGAATCACACCAGACCAAACGGACCAGACTGGACCGCTCGTTCGGTACGGGACCAGCCCAGCACGTGCTGCGGGCCGGGCCAGGCCGGACCGCCGCAGTCCCCTAGTGCAGTGCGCCGCGGCGCCGGCCGCTCTATACAGTGTTTCCCGGTCGTGACGCCGCCTCAGCACAGTGCAGTGTCCGGGGAGGACCGCCCGCCGGCTGTATGCAGCGCTGTGCCACCCGACCCGACCCGACCCGCGCGCATGCCACCGGTACCTGCCCAGGAAATCGTCCTTTGCCAGGCTGCTGGCGTCCCAGTCCCAGAGCTCGAGGCGCAGCTGAATGCCATCGCGCTCCAGACAGTCAGTCTGCCAGACAGAGCTGGTGCGTCACCGACAGCGTTGGCAGACAGCCACAGACAGCCACAGACAGCCAGACAGTCACAGCCAGCTCCAGACAGTCAGTCTGCCAGACAGAGCTGGTGCGTCACCGACAGCGTTGGCAGACAGCCACAGACAGCCACAGACAGCCAGACAGTCACAGCCAGCTCCAGACAGTCAGTCTGCCAGACAGAGCTGGTGCGTCACCGACAGCGTTGGCAGACAGCCACAGACAGCCACAGACAGCCAGACAGTCACAGCCAGCTCCAGACAGTCTGGCTGCCAGACAGAGCTAGTGCATCACCAAGGCGCTCAAACACAGTCCAAGACAGTCACAGACAGCCACAGACAGATCCAGACAATCCGTATGCCAGATACGTGTAGCTGATGCGCCAAAGACGGCAGACAGACCAGACAACTCCAGACAATCTCTGACAGCCACATAGAGATACAGACAGCTTCAGACAAGCAGACAGGTAGGGCTACAGACAGTGCATCTGTCAAACAGACCGCGTCACCAAAGGCGCCCGAAGGCAGCCACAGACAACCACAGATACTCGTATGTACACTTACAGCCATAGACCTCTGTATACCGTATACAGGGTATACAGAGGTCTATGGTACAGCCCGATGCAGTCTGCCACACAGAGCTAGTGCGTCACAAGACGGTGGACAGTCTCAGACAACCACAGCTACCAAACAGTCCCATCGCGCCCCAGACAATTGGTCTGTCAAACAGAGCTGGTGCGCCATTGACGGCACCCGAATACAGATCCAGACAGTCACAGACAGCCACAAACAGACCCGGCAAGTTCCAGACAGGCCCAGTAAGACCCAGACAAGCGTGTCTAGGATCATGGCGAGACACGAGGACCGCCAGGAGGCGAGCAAAACAGCCAGACAAAACTTATGTCAGCAATAGCTATTTGGACAAGAAAATACGGGGAACTATCTTTCACATTGCGATAGCAACACGCGGAAAGCAAATAACGCGCGATAAGGGGAAACGCACGATAGCAAACGGATCAAGTGGATCAAGCAGCTGATACGCTGTTTTTTACTTGAAAAATACCGCTATTTCGATTTCTTTTGGCTCTTCAATATCAAATATTAACCCTCGCCCGCACATGGGGGCGGGGGGGTGGTTGCCATCCCCCCCCCAGGTAGTCTTTCTGCTCTGCACTCAACATTTTTAGAGCTATAGGGCTGATTTTTCGTATAGCTCCTCTATCTTTTCTTGATGTCCACTGAAAATTTGAAGTTTCTGTGATTTTTTGTTTCGGAGATATGACCTTGTTTTTCAGGTCATGTCATGACCCAAATGGCCAATTCTCAACATCTTGCGTTTGCCATGGGCCTTGTGAGCTTTTGACACCCCGATTTCGGCCTTTTTTGCCTGTCTTACCTCCCACCTATCATGGAACATGTTGTTCGACGATGTACAGGGGACAAGGTCAGGGTTAAGGTCAACCTAGGTCATCTAAGATAATTGCGTTTTAGGCAAGCTGAATTTACTTTTTGTGAAATTTTTTGACTGCATTTTTGGTAAAAGCTTCTCAGATCATGATTTCATGTAATATGGACCCAAAAACAATCGGTGCACACATCAGTATACACACAGACACACACAGACATACAAACACATATAATTGACCTTGACCTAACTTGACCTGAAATGACCTCAGCAGCAATATTCTGGTCGGGTAGTGTGACAAAGAGGTTCTAGCTGGCTTGGCACAAGAAAACAGCATCGTCATCGGTATTTGATAAGCAGCGCACTTGATATCAAACGGTGATCTAAAACAGCAACATTTTTTAGTTTGACCTGACCTGGAAGGTCAATGACTGAGCTGAGAAGGTAAAACTGGGTATCATTGGATTCGTCTCTTCCCAAAGCATCTTTTTGGTCTTTACCGCTAAGCTCTATCTCCAACAGGAACGAAATGGCGCGGGGGTGGCAACCCCCCCCCCCCATGTGCGTTCTAGGATGGGAAAATGGCATGTGCGGGCGAGGGTTAAGAAACGTCGTCCTCTTATAAATCCGCCCTCCAGAAATCAGGACCCACCCGAATCTGTTAGACTAACGTGGTCTGTACTATCAGTTTAGTCCGTACCAAGTAATTTGCACACATCCCAGCATGGCCCTGCCGGTGGAGTTACTAACACCCAAACACATATCGTATCGCTGACGGCATTAACAGCACCGTCTTAACCGCCTCCACAAGCGCTATTTCTGATTAGCGGACATTCGCGACTCGGTCACCGGATATGAACTCAGGTCCCCCGGACCCAGCTCGGCCTGAGCGCCAGCGCCAGCGGACGCATGCACTGCGCCTGTTTTGGCCCACTGCCCACGCGCGCTGCTCGCGAGCCATAAACCGTCAGGGCCACGGGGTTATCGGAGCGCAACCAGATAAAGGTGTTAATGGTGCACAGCGCGCACGAAGGGAATGGTGACTGCATGGGGTGACAAAACGGTAAGCGAACTATGACACTCATCGACGCAAACTTAAGTACTCAGTCTCACACATGAATTTTCTAGCAGCAATGCTCGCCACCTCTCAACGACTAAAACGACGCTAATTAAAAAAATGAATAAATCTAGTCTTAGGTCAGCTGGATATGGGACCGTATAGTAACAATTACCCAGGAACAATAAACTTAACTGCAGGCTGTGTCATCTTCTCGGAGCAACATTGATAACGCTAGCATCTAAAAGCCTACATACATGATGAGAGGGGCTTGCACAATAAATATCTGGTGGAAAAGCAAACCATGCATCATCTAGTCAAATATATATTTTTTTTTGCAATTTGATTAGTTACCGTCTGAGAGCCCACAAAGGTTAATATTTCGCCGTATTTCCCGGCCAGCAACATCAGTGTCTTGTAAGTAACGCGTCATTCCGAACAAAAAAAAAACCAGCAAGCATGGCAGAAAATGACCAACGGTTTGCATCCCAGTCGGTTTAAAGTCCCACAAATGTCCAAAACTACACCGAATTAATAGCGGCTCTCACTACTCAGCACTGGCCACTGGATGACGCTATCAAGGGTACGGGTAGTTGCAGTTGCACAGTGCAAATCCCACAGTAGCAAGACATGATAGGTGAACGTATGGATATCAAGACCAATATCAAGACACCAAGACAATGGATAAACACTATAAACAAAACTATGGACGCCTCCCAAACGCAGAGTTAAAGCCGTAGACATTTCATCAAGGCATGACCGATGCACCGAAACGGACAAACCCCAAATGCAAGACACCCCAACAGAAACACTAAACGCCAGCCAGACATCCCCCAGCTCCGGACATAATAACTGCGGAAACATTACGAAGCTCCCGAGCTGCTCCGGACATCCCTTCTCCGGACAACTCCGGACACCCCGAGTTCCGGACGGACACCCCGACGCCCTCTGCGGGCGTTACCTTCCCAGCGACTCATCATCTGACGGCCCGTTGTCGTCATCAGCTACGGCCAAGTTGACGTGAGCACCGCTTACGTACTCCATAATGATCTGCGAGGTGTATTGAGTAGCTGAGCGGGACAGACTGGTCTCGGGTGGGGTTCAGCGGAGGTAGACGGTACGGAGCAGGATCACACGTCTCGCCGCAATTCATATCGGTTGAGAGAGTGGGTTAGTCATAACATGACAAAAAAAGGAACGGCGACACTAGAGAAACAAGCGGACAAGCTAGAGACGGCCAGCATCCAATAGTCGTTCAGAGCTAGAGACAGAGACAGACAAAGGCGGAGAGAGAGTGAGAGTCTGCAGCTCTCAGAGTCGGCGTGCAGTCCACATCCAGAAGCTCGTGACGAGTCGCTCTGCGGCCCGGGGCGGAGTCTCACCTGCCCAGGTTATCATCTTTGTTGCCGGGATCATCGGAATCGGAGAGCTCCACCCACAGTCGCGGACCGACCGACTCAAGCAGGGCAAACTGACCCGGGCGCAGAGGGTAGGTCAGCGACACGGCACGGCACGGCACGGCACGGCGGCACGGCACGGGCGAGCCACGTGGCGCCACGTGGTAGCTCAGACAGTACAAGTACAGACAGACACGGCACACAGACACACGCGGACGGGACGGAAGCGGCGAGAGAGGTGAGGTGGTAGATATCTGCGGTTAAACGCCGTCGTTTCGCTGTCGGGGATATCAGCGTGTCTTACTTCTTAGATTTCGGGGAACGAGTAGGCTGGGCTCCTTTCATGACTATTGGAATGCTAACCAGACATTCGTAACAACTAAGTTAATGCATGAAATACGAGCAACTAGACAATCAAATGAAAATATTGCAAACGTCAACGTCTCGACTCTCGGGTATGGTTAAAGTCTAAATGCATAAAAAGCCGTGGGGCTCATTGCTTGGCTTGGGACTGAATAGGATGACGGACAAATGTCCGACGCAAACAACAGTACATTACATAGTGTGCCTCCGTGACAGCACGAATTGGAACGAACATCCCTGACATCTGAGTCAGGTAGCACGGATAGACAGCCAACTGATTGGGCAGTGGCTGCTGCCAGCACGGCGAAACATTACACACGATTGCGGTGAGATACTAAGGGCACCTACATAACGGATACAACTCACAGGGGGATTACGGCTGGCACATGATCATATCCCTTCGGATAACCTATAAAGGGTAAGGGCATAACTATAAGCGTCTTCTAGCGTCTAACTATAAGCGTCTTATAGCTGAGAAGAGCGTCTTCAACTTTAACGCATGCCCTCAACGCTGATAATGAATCCAATCAATGAAAGCACCTGCAGTTCTACCCAAAAATAATCGCCAGCCTGTAATGAGCTTTTTGGTGAAACAAGCCTCGAACAACTTTCTCGTTTTAAAACACCTATCTCATCTGTGAGTGCAGTATTCGAATTGAAGAGTGCCCACTGTCTAGAGGACTTCAGACTCATCCAGAGTCCTCAAGCAGGTCGACCTCAGACTCATGCTGAATGATGGGTAAACCCAGCAAGAGATAGCTGATGGGTGTTACGTGTGGAATCACAATGATGATATTTTGACAAAACGTCATTTAATTAATCTGTCTCCGTCGAGGAATTGAACACACGTTATTATCAGGTAACTGATAAACCCAAAAAAAACATTCCTAATCTCAGCCGATATCGACACCTTTTTTAAACCCCACATTGTTCTCCGGTGAATTTCAGACGAGTTGGTTAGAGACCTTCAAAAAAGGTACAATAACTCGATTTTTCTCAAGTTTGTCTGTCTTGGCAGATAAAGCAATACCAGAACAGGCCTACGAACACACATATTTGATCAGGATCGGACGATTGGACACTTTTAAAAGGAGATCTTTCGTGCCTCCCGGAAATTCACGGGAGAGCAGATGTGGGGTTTAAAAAAAGGTGTCGATATGGCGTCCGATCCCGACTCGGACGTCTCCCGTTTCTGTGCGGTTTTCTCGACCTTCGACTCAGTGCTCCGCGGTGGCCGTCAGCCACGACGCTGGCACCGTGCCAGGTATGACGTCACACGCCCCCAGGCCCAGTACCGCCCGCCCGAGCCGGCCGGTCGTCCCAGGGTCGTCCGTCCGTCCTCAGACCCACCTCACAAACATAGTTCCAGACGGGGTCCACAGTATCCTGGATGTACTTGGTCTTGAACTGCTTGGCGCCGATGTAGATGATGGCATAAGGATCGGACTTGCCCTGGCCGAAGATGTTGCGGTCCTTCTTCATCAGGTCCTTGCCCTCGATGAGTCGCAGACGGAGCACGCCCTGTGTGGGGTCGGGTCAGGTCAGGTCAGGTCAGGTCAGGTCAGGTCAGGACATGACATGCTACTTAGACCCAGCCACCGCCCACCACTACTGATAAAAAACAGTGAAACGCCAGTAATTTATAGCACTGGCAAATAAAGTTTCACTTTTTATGTCAACCATGGTTTCAAGCGCGTCACTCTGCGCCTAAATGCTCGCCTATATATTCGTACTTCGTAGCGTTCAGTGCATCACTGTAAAAATTTAAGGGGAAAAAAGAAACCACTCATTCAATGTGGAATGTGGATGCGTGTGATGTGATTCAGTCCATTGCGCAATATGCTTTTAAAATCAACCGTTAATTCAGAAAACGACTATATGTCATCAATCGTTTCGAAGCCCATCCCAGACAGAAGCATCCTCATTCCTCATGCCGAGAAACCTCCACCGCGCGGCGCGGCGCGGCCAGCACCCAAACACTCGGACCAGCTGATGTCATCCCCTCCCCTCCCTCCCTCCCTCCGCCTCCCCACCCCCGCCCCTCCCTCCAAGCCCCAGCAGTGGGCCGGCCGGCGAGTCAGCTGATCGCATGCAAAACAGGCGTGACAGGGCATCGCTGCCACGTGCTATGCCGGCAGCTGCACCGCCCGCCGGCTGGACTGGACGGGGCGGATAGGTCACCAGTGGATGTCGAGGTTATGACATTGGCGTCGCATGTGAGCGACGCATTCCGTGACTGCCATCGTTAGAGTGGGAAGAGTGTGGGAGCGGTGAGGTAGAGTATCGGAGCGGCCCGGCAGAGTATCTGAGCAGCCCGGCAGAGTGTAGGGGCAGGGCGACAGAGTGCGGGGGCGTGGCGCGCGGTGAGGCGCAGAGTATCGGAGCAGCCCGGCAGAGTGTAGGGACCGTGAGACAGAGCATAGGGACGACGTGGCAGAGTGTCGGAGCGGCCCGGCAGAGTGCGGGGGCGGGCTCGATAGCGGCGGCACGGGTCCGGTGCAGCGCGGCGTTTCCGTTTGCGACTCGCCAGTCGGGCCCATGAATCACAAACAGTGTGTGGGCGGTGCCGGGCATGGGGTCTCGTATTCCAGACCCGACACAAAGCGGCCGATATTTAGCGCCCAGGAAAACAGGCGACACAGAGACGCCTGAAGAGATTGATTTCACTTTAGCTACAGAGCCAGAGAATCGTCACATTCCTTCGCGTCCAAAATCGCATATTCAACACACTATAGGCCCAACAACCGCCCGACCATTTGGCCATAATTCCTGGAGCTTGCCCTTGAACCAGCCTGTCTGACCTTGACAGCCCGAGCCACCCGCCGGCCGGCTCCGTCCATCGCTGATGCGTCACATGTCTTACCTTTGGCTGTGAGGCGGTCACCATCTTGGTCGGCACCTGGTCCGACAGGATGATGGGCCACTTGTTGGGCAGCACCATCATAGCGGCTATCGTGTCCACAATCACATTGCGCAGGATGCCGCTGTTGTGGAGACGGAGACAGGACAACGGTTCATGTTTATTCAGTCAAGTGTATGATAGCTCATTGTTTAGGTAAGTCGAGTGAGCACTTAAACTTGCTTACATTACTGTACGAGGCCAAATAATAAGAGACAATGTCAATAGGAATTGCAAAAAAAAAAAAACTAAGTGGTTTCACTTAACATCATTCGCAAAACGGTGTCAGAAGCTAAAAGGCGGCGTAAAATCATTTCTCTGCACCGTGAAAAGAATTTCACTTCGTTGACTGACCACCCATCTCCTCATCCACCCTCCCACCGAGACGGTAGCACAGACTGACCCTCCGGTCCCTCTCTCCCTCCGGTTCCCGTTCCAGTTCTCTCCCTCCCGTCACAGGGCGGTCCCCGAAGCGGTCACAGTCACGGCCACGGTCACAGTCACGGCCACGGCCCCGTGAGAGCCGGTCACGTCGGCACCACGTGGGAACAGGACGTCGGCCAGACGTCGGGGCATGGATCGGGGATGGGGTGCACTCCGCGCCAGTCGGGGTGATGTGACTTGAGTGATATGGTAATGCACTTGACACAATAAAAGAGACGGTTGTATTGTCTGTCGGGAATCTTCGACAACCATGGCAGACTGCCTGAAATAGCAGGCTGATTCTATACAGGCTGACCAAACACAGGAAAACATGAGGGAAGCCCACGTCGCGGCGAACTATCGACCGAGCTGTCTGGCACCGGCCTCCACGCCCTTCCGCGTCGCCTGGCGCCAGTCCATGGCCGTCAAAGTTCCGTGCAACGTCCCCGCTTCGCAAGGCGTCAACACCGATTCTAGCAGAATCCACTCACAATTTTCACATACGACCGCTACCCGATCTGTCTGGCGTCTCCCGTAACTTCCGTTTTATTCCTGTCCGGACAGTCTCCCTCAGTCCGCCTGAAACTTCCGCTTTCGTCCTGTCCGTCTTATTCCCGTCTTGTCTGGTCCATTCCCGTCCCGCCCCTTTCATCCTACGCATATCTCTCTCCCCATCCTGCCTTGTCTCGTTCCATCTCATACCTTTTCGTACTACTCCTCGTCTCCCTTCCCGTTCCCCCGGTCTCTCATCGCTACCCCCCCCCCTCCTCGGACCCGTCCCGCCTCTTCTCGTCCTATTCCACGTCCCCCTTCCGTCCCTACCTTGTCTCTTCCCTTCCCGCCTGGCGTCCCCGTTCACCCACCTGAGGCCGGGCATGTCGAGCACGTCAGCTACGCCGAGCATGTTGAAGTCGATGTCGGGGTTGTTGAGGAAGAAGAGCTGCATGCCGCCGATAATGGGGATCGAGCTGATGAGCGGCTTGTACACGATACGCATTACGCCGTGCAGCTGGGGAACAGATGAAAGCGTGAGAAGTTGATCAATGCGAGTAAAATCGATGATTATGGATAGGTCAATCAAGGAGTCATTTATATATAACTCAAGTCATACCCCCAACCACGCAACATCACCGACCCGTTCTTCATCGTTTCCAAACTATTATTCGCCCCTAAACCGCACTCACCTGGAAGTCTTTGATGCCCGCCGTCATGCGACTGAAGCTGCACTCGATGCGCGAATCGCCCGCGTAAAAGATCTCCAGATCCATGATGATCTCGGAGCGCTGAACGTTATCCGAATACACCTTCACTCCACCGACCCGGGGCGGCTGAAAACGGTGGGCGGAGGAGAAATTCAGCGTGTGGCGGAGTTTATAGCAGCAGCAACATCAGCACTGTCTGTGAATGAATCAGAAAAAAGAATGTAGGCATTTTTGTGAACGAATGATGAATATACTGAAGTGTACTTACGATATCACCGAGATATATTTTCTCGAACTTGAAGTTGTAGAGTTTGTAGCCGGACATGGTGGCCGCCAAGCTGGCTTCGAACTGCGTCTTCAGCAAGTTCTTGACGTAGTCGCCCACATATGGCCACATTTGTTTCAGCATCTGTAAAGGGGCTTTGTGCCATTCACTGTTCAACTGAGTAATGGTGAATAGATGACATAAATGTGATTCGTTGTCAATGGCTATCATAGCTGAAATGTCACCTTACCTTGTTCAGCCACTCTGCTCTTTCTACATCAGGGAAGTGAACCTGTAAATGAAAGAACAAATGTAAATAATCTTAAAAGCTGAATCTAACGACGAACTGCAGTTCGCATCAGGGCTGCGGAGTCGATGGATTTTCGGCGACTCCGACTCCGACTCCGACTCCGGCTTTCAAAAACCAGCTCCGACTCCGACTCCGACTCCGGGCAGAATTGTCGACTCCGACCGACTCCAACTCCCGACTCCGACTTCGCAGACCTAGCAGGGCTGCGGAGTCGACAGATTTTCGGTGACTCCGACTCCGACTCCGGCTCGGGTTTCTAAAATCGACTCCGACTCCGACTCCGACTCCGGTCAAACCTGTCGACTCCGACCGACTCCGACTCTGACTCCGACTCCGACTCCGCAGCCCTGGTTCGCATACAAACAAATCAATCGAATAGCGGTATCGAGCGAAAACAGGCTGACTCATCCATCTGCATCAAAATTCCATCAAGCTCCCACTCGGTTGCTAAGGTGATAATGACCATCTTGAAACGCCTACCGCATTCCGAGAAACTTAATGATCTAATATTATCACATAGGCGCATTTTCGGAGCTTTCACCACTCCCCCATATCGTTTCAGCCCCACTCACCCAGGAGGGCAGGTCCTGCAGTTTGGCCAGAGTGACCTGCTCGCTGTTGAGCGCGATGGCGCGCGCCAGTTCGCGCTTGGTCTTCTTCTGGCGGCTCCACTTCTCCCTCATCACGGAGAGGATGATGCCGCCGACCAGCCAGGCGGGCGACAGCTCCAGGTAGCCGACCGCGTAGATACCCAGGATGGCGGCCGTGCGGCGCAGGAACAGCATGCCCAGGCTGCCGGAGCCGCCGGCCGCGCCTCCGTCCGCGTCACTCATGGCGCGACCTGGCGGGGGCGGCGGGAGCGCTCAGTAAGAGTGCTGCGGGACTTTGGAGTGCTTGGTAATGCAAAGTTGAAAATAACGCCCTTGACTGGTCCTAGGCAGATCCAAATGATCTTATTCTCTATAAATGCACAAAGTTACTCTTTTGCCTGGAATCTTTCAAATTTTCCAAGCTATGTGATAAAAACTTTTAGGTCACTCATCCCATCAATAATCTTTTAGCAGCCACAATATGTGGATTGCTGTAGTTGCCGCTGTGCGGAGGCGCGTCCGGTGCACGGCGCGCGTGTGAGTTGTCGCGTGCGGCTGGGATTTGTTGTGGAAAATGGATCAGCGGCGAGTCGTCGGCGAGAGGGAGCGCGGGAGGGAGCGGCGCGGGGCGGCCGCCGAGCGTTGTTTTTGCGAAGTCGGTTTTATTTCTGTGCGAGTTTAAATACAAGCTATTTCGGCGTTATGACGACGAACGTGACAGTGTCATTGGACCAGGTTCCGGTGATGGCAAGTGCGGTGGCGCCGACAATCGTCCCGCGACCGGTGACAGCGCCGGTGCCGGTTGGTGATGGTGGTGTGACAGACTCGGCAACCGTCTCACAGCCTGTGGTCGCGGTACCGTCGGCACCTTTTGATGCGCGGCTGATACCGGAGTTTGACGGGACCGAAGATGTGGTCAGCTGGCTGGCGCGTGCTGAGATGCTGTGCCAGCTGAGGGGAGTGGCCGCCGAGACTGTGATTCCTCTGCGCCTCGCTGGCGGTGCTTTCCACGTATGGTCCCAGCTGCCGGCGGCCAGTCGCTGCTCGCTGACGGCCGTGAGAGACGCCCTCCAGGCGGCGTTTGCTCTCGATGAGTACGCCGCCTATGAAGCGTTCGCCGCTCGGCGACTGATGCCAGGAGAGTCGGCGGACGTATTCCTCGCTGACCTCCGCCGGCTGGCGGCGCTGTTCGGAGGAGTGCCGGAGCGAGCGCTGGCCTGCGCATTCGTGGCAGGCCTGCCGGACAGCGTCCGGCAGATGATCCGCGCTGGCTGCCGGGCAGATGGACTGGACCTGTCATCGGTGCTGGCGCGCGCTCGCGCTGTGCTGACCGACGAGCGGCTCTCCGCAGCAGCAGCAGCGGCGCGTCGGACTGTGCCGCCGCCGGCTAGCCACCCATCTGCGGCGCCTGGACCCGGCCAGCCGCCGGGGCCGACGCGTGGACGGCCTCCGCGCGGTCCGCGTCCGCTGAGATGCTGGACCTGTGGAGAGCCCGGCCATATTGCTGCGAGATGTCCGCGTCAGTCGGAAAACGGAGCCGGAGGGGACGGGTCAGCACCGCCGTTCTCTCCTGCGCGACAGTGAGCGGTGCGCTGCCGATTACACGCCTGCACGTGGACGGACGAGAGTGCTCGGTCCTCATCGACACCGGGAGCACCGACACCATCATCTACGCGCCATTCTGTGCGCAGTGGAGGCGACGGGTGGTGCGCGTCACCACGATCAGCGGCGACGACCTGAAATGCAGCGGCATTGGCAGTGTAACGGTCGAGGCGCCGACGGGCCATCGTGCCGCGCTTGAAACGCTGGTGGTGGAGGAGCGGCCGCTCGGCGTGGACATGGTGCTCGGAGTCAGCGGTATCTCGGCTCTCGGGGGCGTGACGGTGCTGTCCCCCTCTGTGGTGCGGTTCTGTGGAGCAGTGTGTCGTGCGCCGCCAGACATTGAGACGCCGGACTTCCGGGTGCAGTTCAACGCGGCTGCCCGGAAGTGGTCGGTTGCATGGAAATGGTCCGATGGGATCGGACCCCAGTGCCTCACGAACGCTGTGCCGCAGTATGCTGTGCCGCCCGCCGCTCGTCACGAGTTCGAGACAGAACTTGACGACTGGATAGAGCGGGAGTGGCTCGTGCCGTATGACGAGCGGCGGCAGGGGCCGCCGAAAGGGTTGGTGCCGCTAATGGCTGTGGAGCAGCGCAATCGGGGGAAAGTTCGACCGGTGTTGGACTACCGAGAACTGAATGACTTTGTGCAGGCTCACACAGCTGACAGCGACGTGTGCGCGGAACAGCTCCGCAAGTGGCGCCGGCACGGCGCAAATGTGGCGGTCGTGGACCTGAAGCGTGCCTACCTCCAGCTGCACCTGGAGGAGCGACTCTGGCCGTTTCAGACGGTGATGGTGCGGGGGCAGCGATTCTGTTTGACCCGCCTAGGTTTTGGTTTGAATATCGCGCCCCTCGTGATGAAGGCTGTCGTGCGTGCTGTGCTCGATCAGGACCCCGACATCGGGCGTGCCGTCCTCCCATATGTGGACGACCTCCTTGTAAATGAGGACATAGTCAGTGCCGAGCGCGTGGTGGCGCATTTCGCGCAGTTTGGACTGGACTGTAAGCCGCCGGAGCGGGCGGCCAGTGGAGTGCGGCTCCTGGGCCTGCGGGTGCACGAGGAGAACGGGCAGCTGCGGTGGAAGCGGGACAATGCCGTGAGCGCGCCGCCAGAACGTGTGACTCGCCGATCTGTGTTCGCGTGGTGCGGACAGCTAGTGGCCCACGTACCAGTGTGTGGGTGGCTTCGACCCGCGGTCGCATGGCTTAAGCGGCGTGTAAATGAGCTGACGCGCGGATGGGACGACATCACTGATGACGCCGCGCTGCGCGTGCAGATGGACTGTATCGCGAGTCGCCTCGCCAGTGACGACCCGGCCCGTGGCGTGTGGTGTGTCGACGGGGACGAGGTGGTCGCCTGGACAGACGCCAGCTCGCTGGCCACCGGAGTGGTCCTGGAAAACACAGACGGTGAGGTGATCGAGGACGCATGCTGGCTCAGGCGAGACGACGCTGTACACATAAATATGGCCGAACTCGATGCCGCTATTCGAGGCATTAACTTGGCAGTTGCGTGGGGCGCACGGAGAATCGATCTCCGAACCGACTCGGTGACGGTGAAGCGGTGGATCGACGACGCGATCAGTGGCCGCGCGCGCCTCCGTACTAAAGCCAGCGGCGAGCTGCTCATCCGACGGCGTGTGGCGATTATTCGTCAGCTGGTCATCGAGCTGGAGCTCCGTCTGACAGTGGCGCTCGTTCGATCGGCGGATAATCGCGCTGATGCACTGACTCGAGTGCCCAGGGAGTGGCTCCGAGACGATCTGACGTCGACAGTGAGCGCGGCCGCCGTGAGCGCGGCTGGCGAGCCGTCGGCAGTGAGCGCAGCCGCTGTGAGCGCGGCTGCAGCGGGCGAGCCGTCGGCAGTGAGCGCGGCCGCTGTGAGCGCGGCTGCAGCGGGCGAGCCGTCAGCAGTGAGCGCGGCCGCTGTGAGTGCGGCTGCAGCGGGCGAGCCGTCGGCAGTGAGTGCGGCCGCTGTGAGCGCGGCTGCATCGGACGAGCCGTCGGCAGTGAGCGCGGCGGCTGTGAGCGCGGCTGCATCGGGCGAGCCGTCGGCAGTGAGCGCGGCCGCAGCGGGCGGGCTGTCGGCAGTGGGAGTAGCTGCCGCGGACGAGCCGGCAGTGAGCGCAGCCGCGGTGGGTGAACCGTCGGCAGTAAGCGCGGCCACAGCGGACGAGCCGAACGCTGTAAACGCGAGCCTCGATGGTGCAGAGAGCGTGGCTGAAGTGCACGAGCGAGCTGGTCATCCGGGCGTCCGACGGACATTGTATTTTGCTCGCCGATGTATCGGCCGCGTCTCGAGAGACCAGGTACGCGCCGTGGTGACAAATTGTGATGTCTGTCGAGCGATCGACCCGGCTCCAGTAAAGTGGCGACACGGGTCGTTGGGTGTACCACAGACGTGGCACAGACTGGCCATTGATATAACTCATTATGGGGGCCATCCGTACCTCAGTGTAATCGACTGCGGGCCGTCGCGGTTCACTGTATGGCGGCCGCTGCGACGGCAGGACAGTGTGTGCGTTATTCAGCGGCTGGAGGAGATATTTTTTGATCGAGGAGCTCCGGCGGAGCTGTTGTGTGATAACGATCCTGTGTTCCGCGGCCGACCGTTTGCCGTGCTCGCCGCGCGCTGGGGAGTGGCTGTGAGGTTCCGGGCGGCCCATGCACCGAGCGGGAACGGTGTCATCGAGCGCTGCCACCGGACAGTGAAAGTGATCGCCGCCCGGAAACGGTGCGATATCGCCGAGGCGGTACACTTGTATAACGTGACGCCGCGTGACGGCGAGGCGGTGGCCAGCGCTCCGTTTTGTGGCGTGTACAGGTACGAGCCGAGTGACTGTGTGCGGTTGCCGGCTGCTCCGCCAGGGACGGCCGCGGACGGTGGGGCCGGGGCGCGGGAGCTCCCTGCGGTGGAGACGGGCCCATACACAGTCGGAGACGCGGTGTGGGTGCGCCGCCGTGGGACGCGCTGCACGGAGCCGTCCCGCCGGGGTACCGTCACGGCGGTGGTCTCTCCGCAGGTTGTCGATGTGGACGGTATGCCACGACACGTCAGGGATTTGCGGCGCAGAAATAGTGAGCCGCCCCCATGTGCTGAAATTGACGCGGACGACCCCATCTACGTGATGGATCCCCCGTCTCTCCCAGTCCTCCAGCCGGCTCCAGTTGAGCAGGGGCCGGAGTTATGCGACGCTCCAGCTCCGGAGCCTCCTGCCGTGGCTCCTCGGCGAAGTCAGCGCACCCGCCGTCCTCCGCAAGGATGTTTCTGTGAGGGATGTAAATGATCCTCAGGATCAGGGGGAGGTGTAGTTGCCGCTGTGCGGAGGCGCGTCCGGTGCACGGCGCGCGTGTGAGTTGTCGCGTGCGGCTGGGATTTGTTGTGGAAAATGGATCAGCGGCGAGTCGTCGGCGAGAGGGAGCGCGGGAGGGAGCGGCGCGGGGCGGCCGCCGAGCGTTGTTTTTGCGAAGTCGGTTTTATTTCTGTGCGAGTTTAAATACAATTGCGGTGCTAACTGCTAGGAATCTAGTCAGATTGTCTTCCCTAGAAGTTGGGATGAAGACCACAAAGGACAGTTTGAACACTGGGAGTGGGTACACCCTATTCGTGTTTGACTTTGGTCTCTTTCTGAGCTAGAACTTCATGGAC